CTAGTGAGTAGCGTCGCATCCCCATCAATCGCCAGGATCATATGAAGACAGGTGACACTGACGAAAGAAGATATAGATCTGAAGTGTTGCATTGGAGCTTTTTGAAATAATGGGAGATATATTTCAAACAATTATCAACTGATTGGACAACATCTGGAGTATGTGATATCAATCTGGTCATTGCTCTATCCTTAAAACAAACCCACTATCGAAAACGCGTTGTGTATAGCAACGAAACGGGTTCAGACGAAGCAAGAAATGTGATTCCAAAAGCGATCAATACCGACGACAGCGTACCCACTTGATTCAATTAAACAGAATAATGAGCAACATAGATAACACCAAGTGGGATGTTCCGTCGTGTCATCTCTGTAGCAACCAGGGAAAGAAATAGAGTCAAACTCAACAACAACAATAACAACATACATCGTGCTACTGGGAAACAATACAATATCGTGTGTGCTGCCGTATTTGGAATTAAAGTAAGGAGAAACTTAGGACAATGGATGTCAAGCTACATTGAACATCCGGGTAATGTGTTGGTTGTGCTGTTACACACTGTGAATAAATAATAGCAATGTTATAGTAAATCAATAGTAATCATAAAAAAAAAAAAAATCAGATAGGGAAAATGGCATACATCACCAATTATGTGGGAGGATTTATCACAGATACCGTGACTGCACCAACAATTTCAAAACGTTAGTTGAAGTTTGTTTTGTTATTTTTTAATACCCGGGACACTGGTTTGCTACCTATCAGATTCTGAGCTTATTATAGATATAAAGTTTTTGTTGGTTGTCCTGTTAAAAGCATTCCAATTAAATTCGTCGCTTTGGTCCACCAGGAAATCCCAAAACATCTGGTTTTTAAATTAATTGCTGTTATCCATGTTGTTGTAGATGTTCTACTGGGGAATCATACTATATGCGTGTTTTATAAGTGTAGACATCTAGTCGAAACTTGTATGGAATTTCACCCCTTTAAACGTTCTGTATACCCTTCTCGCCTGTATAGTCACCTGTGTTTTAAGTGAGAGGTCTGCACTAAGCCGGATATTTTAGAAATCATCAACTTATATATATAATTAAATGCGTGTATCATTATGGCTCGCCTTTTTTGTTTTGTTATGATCATTCTGTGCGGCAAAACTTAGTTTTTATGTCGCTAAATTTTCACGCACATTTGTTTATTATGCAGACGAGAAATCTTATGAAAAGCTAATCCTTTATATATAGTAATTGTTATTGCATCTTTTGTGTCATGTGTATTATTAGCTGAACGCTGGTTTAAAAAATAATAGAAAAGATAATAGCGTTTTCAATTTCATAATATCATTATATTTCAAACAATACATTTAATTTTCATTGTTTTTTCACTCTTCATATCATGTACATATTCGTTAACTTAATACCACTGATAATGATTATTTTATTCTTCTTTGATATATTTTACTGAACACCAAAGTCACTTAATGTTCCAAAAAGTTACAACATAGTCCACACACATATATAGTTGTCACCCTTCTAATTCGTAACACTCTTTCTGTTTGGATATCTTGCCGGGGTCTATAGAAATATAGCCTTTGGCTCGGGGTCTATAAAGACCAGACGTGGTCTATAAGCTCGTAGACACCTCCTAATCCAGAGATAACTAATAATATCCTATCCACAGTTTAAACACTAAGTTATAGTCATTAATCAGTATACTAATATATTCACTTTGTAGGATCATATATCACAGTTACAAACACTTAACAAATAACTATTGCTGATTTTTTTTTTTAAACAAGGAAAATGATACTTTCAACACAAGAGCACACTTTTATACAGGTACCACATTACTTCAGTTCTAGTCAACAGAAAAGTTCAAAATTATTTTAATCATCCACTGATCTTCATTTTTCTTCTATTAGCAAAGGGTTAGTCAAAGTTAGATTTGCTCTTGGTGAGTGCCTGGATTAAAAATCATCATATGATCCTGAAGTGTTGTGGGGAACAGACTGTTTCGCAGCTTTAATCTGTATGATGTTCCTCTTGCTTCAACCTCTCTGACATTCCAATAGTGTAACAGGAAACACCAGAAGACGCTCTGCTGTTGCTGCTAAAGGGAGCAATGCATCTCTCTGCTTCAGTGCGAACTCTTAGATATCCTGGAAACTGCCTTACCTACCACCTGAAACCCTTAGATATCCTGGAAACTGCCTTACCTACCACCTGAAACTCTTAGATATCCTGGAAACTGTCTTACTTACCACCTGAAACTCTTAGATATCCTGGAAACTGCCTTACCTACCACCTTAAACTCTTAGATATCCTGGAAACTGCCTTACCTACCACCTGAAACTCTTAGATATCCTAGTTATATTAGCTTGGAGTACTCGCACTTTAGAAAGACCTCCTCATCCTTACCAGTGACAAATCCAATATAATTTCCTGTCAACTTTAAGTCTAGCTCTATCTGACTATCACCTCTGCATTGTCACTTAAGAGAGCCACCAGCTAAAGAACCCAACAATATTATGATATCACAAAGGAGTCCAGTTTGTTTGAAACTCTGTCCTTCAAGCTGTCTGCTACCCCACCTATAAATAACTTTTAACACACAGCCTCTGACCTCTGCTCCTATTGTCTCAATGTTTCTAACACATCCCCCTCTACCTCTGTTTCTTTTGCAACACTACCCAAAACATTAGTCAAGCTTGGTCATTGGCACAACCTACAACCCTCAACTGTGGCCTCTTACAACGGATGAACATTTAAAAATATCAAAATGTTTTCTTATAATTTGGTCTATATAACTTTACGTTTCCTCTGGGAATATCCAGTAGTGACTTCGATGAAATTGTCCATCAATCATAGCTGGTATACCAGAAGGACCCCAAAGGCGTGTCAAAAAATTACAGATGTTTGAATCACTGTCTATTGGTTTCCAAACGTTATAGTCGATTTTGCCCTATTAACTGAACAGACATTTAAATGTTTCAAAACTGGTCCGCCGTTTATGTCTCTACGATCCATTGGGACTTCATGACCTTACCGTCAGTACTAGAACCATGGTGTCATATGGGTGATTTTTTCATCAGTTTTGGTCACAAGACACCTCTCCAAACTTTTACTATAAATATCGATACTCTTCTTTTTCTACTTTGGAACGAAGCGCTATTCCGATTCTAGAGCTTGGTCTAAATATCCTTATTGCCGTGATAGATGCCAACCGCTGACGGACAAACAACACGGAGTTCTCAAAGATGCAGGTTGTTTAAGACTATGGTATCTGCTATTTATTTGTGTAAAATAAAGGTTCATGTTTTTTTTTATTATTGTCATTAGAGTACCTTGCGGTTTTGTTGTCACTGCCCGGTGTTAAGAGACATTACTTGGATTTGACATAGGTTTTGATGGTATGTCGTCGATAAAGGAGACGCTTACCCTTCCGGAACGCCTGGTATTATTCTCATTGCAATATCTGAAGGGTCTCCATGAAAGTTTACGTTCGAATTCCGATTTTGTTGACTCTTCGATATCCCCGGGTTTTTTCTAAACTATTCCCATGAATATATAAGTCTGACAGGTAACATGTTCTCGTGCTACTTGTCCAATTTACATTTCAGTCTTGATCGACACCCGGAGTTATCCTCCTGAACACGTACTTGCGTTTATATTTACGGTCTTAATTTTCGCAGCCGAGCAAATAACCATTGAATCATCATATGTTCTTTACAATGCGAAGGCAACCATGAAAGTGATAATATGACACGCTGTCATTTGTATTACAAACAAAAGCGGCAATAAAAGTACGTCGTCCTATTTTAAAAGTACATTTTAACAGTCTAGTATATTTTATCAAATTGAGATTGATATTTATTCTTGAATCATTAAAATGGGTATGCATTTTTTTGCATTCCCTTTAATTGCATATTTTAAATCAAAATGCAAAAGGGCCCATAATTAATGACAGGATTCATGCAGAAGTTCCAAGATCTTTATTACTTTGACCTTCACAGCTCATCAGGGTTTTTTTTCATAGTGGGGTTCAATCAGTGGCGTAGCATATCTGTATGCTTGTATGCTAAACTACACTAAAGTTTCAAGATTTCTTTTTAATCATATATTTTATTAATTTCTTTTTTATGATTAATATGAAAACCGTCCGTCACAATCATGAACAAAAGATCCCAGAGGGATATTGGCGCCCACCTTTCTACCATCTTCATTAGTTCTTTGTCAGTTCGATCTTTTCTCTTCTTTCCTCTAATCTGTTTGATCGAGTCATGTTAACAGTAAAAGCACCTTGAAGTAACTTTTGATCTAAACTTAATACTGATGTGTATGAAAGCCAACCTTCAAAGTGATTTGTCATTTCACATATTTACTAGTACAGTACTTAATGTGAAAGAAAAAGAATCGATCATTGCAATATGAGAAATATCTGTTTAGTTCTTCCTTTAGCCATTTTGTTTTTATGATCATTTTCAAAATATAACATGCACAACGAGCGATCATATCAAATTTGAGAAAGATCCCTCAAGTTATTCTTGAGAAATAGTACTAACAAACCTGCAATGTCAATAATCGAAGATGGCTGTCGGTAGCAATCAGCAGTTCTAGTATGTCGCTACTCCTTTATTTTGCTACATTTAAATTAAGATATAGGTAGCTGTTCTTTTTCCTTAATTGGAAATTTTCAGGATTTTCTAAATAATTAGAACACAAAATTGAATTGATTTCAAGCATACAGGCTTTTTTTTTTTTTTTACTGCCCCCCATTCCATTATATTCCAATATTACATACTGATCCTGTCAATCATTTAATTTTCACAAGTACTTATTTTTGCTCCTATGCTGCAAAAATTGTGTGTTAAGCTATCTAGGTATATATAAAGGTACGATATACACCATGGATTTCTGGAATTCTAAGCATTTTTCATCACTTAATCAATTCATGAATTTTACGTGAGGAATTTAAAATGGCTAAATAAAAATAAGTAAATTACAACATATGGAATTACATGTAATTTATTGCATTTCGATATGATTTAAATTCCCATGCAGCTATCTAGATGGTTAGCTGTACCCTGTGCGAATACATGATGGTTCTACTTCACACAAATGTTGACTACAACAAATACGTCAATAACTTATATCTTATATTCTTGTGGATCAAAATTCAGCCAATCAATACTGTGATATGTCGCAAATGACTCCAATGGCATCTCCACTAAGAGATCACATTCCATGGGCAATTATTTCCTTTAGAAAGCACTGGTTGAAATCTTCCTTGTACTACGAAAAAAATGAATGCTTCCACTGTTTGCAGTAGTTTATTATTTTTAATGTCACCAGGAAAACTTCTTGATATATTTCAAAATTAGTTGACCATAGATAAGATTTATTTTAACCCAACAACACTACGAATATCGGTTAAAATGTCACAATCTGACGAACTAAATCAGATATGAAACAATTAAAAATATCTACTAGAGCCTACTACAGCTAACCAGAACTGATCTGGACTTCGTTACATTTTAACAGAAATTTACATATACAGTGCGTAATTAAAACAAATGTATGTACAAATTTACAATTCCTAGAGGTAGGTTACTCTGTATAAAGCAAAATTTCATTTTCGTTGTTATATCAAGTTGTAAAAAAATAATAACGTAAAAACAATTATAATAAAAAATTATCATAATAAGCTTAGCATTAGCTGAACACATCAATGAGATCAAAAATAATGTTACTAATACATTACATCTAGTCATACAATTTACAGTCAGTACACCACACTCAACAAGCACTTCTGTCTAGTGTCGAAACAATATTATTACTTAAGATAGGAGATATCTAATAATGTCACTACTTAAGATAGAAGATGTCTTATTATTTAACTACTTACTTATGATAGAAGATATCTTATTATTTAACTACTTACTTATGATAGAAGATATCTTGTTATTTAATTACTTACTTATGATAGAAGATATCTTATTAGTTAACTACTTACTTATGATAGAAGATATCTTATTATTTAACTACTTACTTATGATAGAAGATATCTAATTATGTAATTACTTACTTATGATAGAAGATATCTCATTATTTAATTACTTACTTATGATAGAAGATATCTCATTATTTAATTACTTTCTTATGATAGAAGATATCTTATTATTTAACTACTTACTTATGATAGAAGATATTTTATTATTTAATTACTTATGATAGAAGTTATCTTATTATTTAACTACTTCCTTATGATAGAAGATATCTTGTTATTTAATTACTTACTTATGATGGAAGATATCTTATTATTTAATTACTTACTTATGATAGAAGATATCTTATTATTTAACTACTTACTTATGATAGAAGATATCTTATTATTTAACTACTTACTTATGATAAAAGATATCTAATTATGTAATTACTTACTTATGATAGAAGATATCTAATTATTAAATTATGTGGTACATTTCTTCCAGAATAAAAAGATTATCTCCTTTCAAGTTTTTCACTTCATCATTTAATCTATATTAAATGACATGGTCCTTCAAAATATGAATCTCTGATTCACAAAAATTTAATCTTGGCAAATATGTATCATATCATTATTTTGTTTTAACGGATCATGTTTGTAAATGATAGATATTTTGAAGCTGAAAATTGTTGTAGGAAATTGATGTACCGACGAGTTTTTTACCGTAAATAAACCTTATCAAGTTATTATTATACCACATAAAAATTTATTCAAGTCATTTGTGTGAGAGTTACCTCCCCAATATATTTCTATTCCTCAAGATATTTGACAGGTTTTCCATTATGGGGCTATTTAACATAAGATACCACAGTAAAAACTTATTACAGTGCCATCATTGGTCAAAGCAAAAGTATGTTGTTATAAAGGGATTTGGCAGTATACTGACGGAGGCCCATACAAGAACTGGGTAGAGAAATTTAAGTTTGAAGTAGCCAAGGTGACAAAGGAAACCTATTTCATTGACGGTACATTGGAACTTGAGTCAGTGACATTGTTCATCTATTTTCAGGACATAAATCCACGTTTCCACTAGACCTAGTTATAACACAACATTAAGTTGTACAGGGTTAATAGGGAAAACTTGACAGTTAAAAGCTGTCCAATACTGAATAACTCCAGATATACGTCATCATATACTTCATCACCTTACATCCCCTTCTTCCAACAACTTAAATTGTTGAGTAGATTAAATTATTCTTGAGAAACATGTCATAAATTTGAACACTGTATGCACACAAACACTACTGCACAGCAAACATATCCCTCACACACCACACTTACTCTACAGCTTATACAGTTAAACATTTATAAAATACAATAATGAGCAATAGTACATTGTATACTACACTGTAAACACACAACATAGATTTTATTTAGACATAAGGTGTCAGAGAGGCTAAACCATTATTTATTCTCCTAACTACACATGAACTTCTGAAAATCCTCATTCACAGCCTGTATACAAGGGAGGTCACTCAAATGTATATTTCTCTCATCAGTAGCTCTATAGCACAGGGATCAGTGCGGTGCAAGACTCATTCAGATACTGTGCAAAACAATCAGAGGTAAAAAAAAAAAACACATTCCATATACCTCATAAATTTAACAAAACTAGCCCCTCTGCTAGAACATAAACTTCCATTCCTCATTTATAGCTCCTTAACAGTCTAGGAAATGTTGATAAGATGTAAGTGATAATAATACACCAGACATAAATACAACCGGTACAACAGAGGTCTACATTAGAAGTGAATTACACACTTCAAAATACATTGAATCATTCATGTATTAATTAATCTTTATTATAACTGAACAATCGATATAATTATCATACCATATCCCGATGAAATGTCAAATTATGAAAGATTTAAGGAATTTTTGAGGAGCACCAGCCAAGAATTTGGGAAAGTTCCTTGGATTCTTATTAATACAAAAATGAAGCATTTCAAAATGGGTGAGTCAGAGTCAAAACAGAGGTGTCCAGATACAAACTTCTGCTACACAGGTAACACTTGTTCACTTAAAGCTTTTAGCAAAACATTTTTAAAAGTCTGAGATCACAAAATGTGAGTTGCTTTCGTTTTGTTAGATATACAAACATTACACAGTAAAGACATCTCGAATAAAACCAGTCTGTGTTATACATACTTCATATAAACATTTATGTGACCATATAACATGATTGAACTACATTAAACTAGTATGAAATATCTGAATAAGGGAAACTTTTAAGTACATGTAAGGACAACTACAAGAAATGGAATAATTCATATGATCTTGTCTGATAAATCCCACTACAGCATGGAAAAATGTCGCAATACATTACAATCATCACTGGAATATATTAATATTATTGCATATCTATTTACCTAGTAAAATCATAGCATGATGACATACATAACAAACAGAACACAGCAACATTTACACTACGCTGTACACACCATCATCAAACACTTAATTCAACCTTCTCTCCACACAGGACAATGGGCTCTTCAATCGTAAAAATATTGCAGCATTTACACAAATTGGAAAGTTTATTTCTTTCTATCACAAAACAATTGATACACAGCTATCAGAATGTTTGTCAGTGCATTTAATATAAAAACTTCAAAAATGTTTTGCTTGTTATGAAGAAGATACATAAATAACAATATTTTTAAATTCTGTTCCATTTGGGGAAAATACAAAACATGATTTTGGGAAAAAACAGTTTAAATTCTTCAGGGAAAGAAAATGCTAATATTCAACACCAAATATAACAATACTGAGAAACTACTTTTGAAATGTCTGCTGTGGTCAAGGCCCCTTAATCCAGCATCCAATAATCTGTATGACCACTAACCATGGGTATATACATCATTTTTTCTCCTATCAACCCTCTTCAAATCCAGTCTATTTAGCTTGGAATGAAGGTGCCTGGATTATTAATAGTATTTCCAACACATGTCTTCTGCAACTTATAAAGTTGGGGCATAGTTTCCAAAAATGATAGACCACATTTTTGACCTGACCAAAAAGTGAGGTTACAAATGCAATAATAAATGTGATGTTACATCCATCCAGACAAATAATCAGCTGCTTTATTTTTAATTGCCTTGATTATTATCAACTTTTAAAATTTTGCAATATTTTTTCAATTAAAAAGTCATATGTACCTCTAATTCAGTTAAACAAGTCACTACAAGTGGATCAGAATACTACAACACTAGATGATGTCTTTCCATCAATATCACACACAAAAACTGTGACAATACTGTATTTATTCCATTGAACAATTCATTCCCCTTTTTAGTCTCTATCATGATTCAATCAAGTAATTATTAAAGGAAAGATAAATCCAATGTCACAACCTAGTGCATCAGATGAAATATCAGTTTCAAAATTCCTTACCTTTTTGGCTTATTTATTGTATTCTCTGTAAAAGTAGTATTTTATTCAAAACTTCTCTTTTGAAAAAATACAAGTATTTCAAAGAGAAAGCTTTGGTGAGGCATACATGTACCATGATATTAAACAAGAATTTAATCATTTTTACATGAAAGTTTGAAATCCTAAAATTTATATTTATCATGTTTCGACTATAACAAGCCTCGTCCTTAGAAAAGGGCTTAAATGTACACCAAGCTGATTTAGGAAGTTGAGTGTACAGGAAGATCTTATATCTAAATATCGGCCATGACCCTCATCTGTTTAATTTATTGAGCATGGGGAGCCTTAAACAACTGGCTTATCACTGGTAAAAATACAGTACAGGGTCAAAGGTCATGGCTATTGCTTATAAAACACAGCAAATCACATATTAAGAGAATTAAAAGAGAAAATTTAAAATTTATAACTAGAGAAGAATCGAGGTCAACTCTCTTCGAAGTCGAATCCAGATGTCTGCAGCTTCATCACATGTTGGTACATCTTGAGGGCGGGGCCTAATTTGATTGACAAGCCTGTGAGAACATCACTCCTCTTCATCAACAGTAAGGACTGTCCATCAATCTCCTGTATGTAAATATGTCAAGTTCTCATCAGATTTCTTCAACAAATTGTTGAAATAATATGCATAACTCATGACACGATACATACTACAGTATGATGCTTACGATACGATACATATATAGCAATACACATATCTGCTGAAAAAGTCAACTTCATAATGCATATAAGCAAATGATTTTACAGTTTGTCATGGTATTAAATACTATCTTAACATATTTTGTATCATATTTTTTAGTACAATTGGGTATGGTTGCACATGAACAGTGTACCAGATTTGTACAAGAGGATTCTAAAACAACAAGAACACTTTATTAAGAGATAATAAGAAATTGTTAATTTTGGTATTGTTAGTTTATCACAATACAGGCAAACAGAACGGTAATTTGATGATACACAGGAAAGTATCACAGTACAATTTGATCCAATGAATCGTTTCAGCCCTACCTTGTTCATTGGTCCAAACAATTATAATAAATTCACCTCACCACACATCAACAACCATCCAATACTGATCCATATAGTTTATTATCTACTTGACCACATATCAATTAGGATTATAAATATTTAATATATTCATCTCATCATACGTCACATGTAAAAGTTCACACAAATATGTGTCAACCTCACTTCATGTTAACAACAGTTACTACTGACCTGTTCTTTAAGAGCCTCTGCCTGCTCTTTAAATCCTACATTTACGAAGAAATGAACAACATCTTCCACTTTCCATTTTGAAGCGTCTGGGTACAGGCCGTTCTCAATAGCGATGATTACTTTATCCATCTTATCTCCCTTTTTCCCATCCACATCTAAAGACTTCTTCCTACCCTCTGCTGTTTTGCGTTTTCTAGGAAGTGGTTCAACCCTGAAGAAAAACAGGATTCTGAAAAACTGGTATCTCCTACTTTGAGGAAAGGAAACAAATCGTTCAATATCAAAGTTTTACTTTCTACATAAACAATGTACATATTAAACTTGTCGCAAAGTTTCAAGACTGACTGGTCCCTTTGTCAAGCTATCATAGCTAGACAAAGGGACCATTGGGTCTTGATAGGTATATTGTGCAGAAAGTAAATTTCCAAACTGATGAATCTTGTTAAAAACAAATCTTTCAATACTAATTTACAGCTAGCTTATGTTTATCTTGTACTAAACTTTCTATGACTAAAGCAGAAAGACTATGTCTTGTAAATCATACCATTATGTCGCTCATATCTAAAATAGACCACAGGTTTATTTTGCAGACAATGTATTTTCTTACTTTTCCTCTTCCTCTTCTTCCTCAGAGGCTGGAGAGTCACAAGGTGTCGGTAGACAGGAGGCACCACCTCCATCTGTGAGACCCAACAAGAAGGTCAAACATGTTGGACAACGTTACAATTCTTAATTTCAATGTTACATTAAACCACTTCATTGTCTACCTTACTGATGCTGACTGGTGTACGATGAAAACAAATAATTAGGCTTCAGTATATCAATTGATACGACACTCCCTCCCCCCTCTACACCATCAACCTCTATCTAGTATATCAATTGATAATACACTCACTCCCCCCTCTACACCACCAACCTCTATCTAATATATCAATTGATAAGACACTCTCTCCCCCCTCTACACAATAAACCTCTATCTAGTATATCAATTGATAAGACACTCTCTCCCACAAACCTCTATCTAGTATATCAATTGATAAGACACTCCCTCCCCTTCCCCCCTTCTCTACACCACCACCCTCTATCTAGTATATCAATTGATAAGACACTCTCTCCCCCCTCTACACAATAAACCTCTATCTAGTATATCAATTGATACGACACTCCCTCCCCCCTCTACCCCATCAACCTCTATCTAGTATATCAATTGATAATACACTCCCTCCCCCCTCTACACCACCAACCTCTATCTAATATATCAATTGATAAGACACTCTCTCCCCCCTCTACACAATAACCCTCTATCTAGTATATCAATTGATAAGACACTCCCTCCCCTTCCCCCCTTCTCTACACCACCACCCTCTATCTAGTATATCAATTGATAAGACACTCTCTCCCACAAACCTCTATCTAGTATATCAATTGATAAGACACCCTCTCCCCCCTCTACACCACCAACCTCTATCTAATATATCAATTGATAAGACACTCTCTCCCCCCTCTACACAATAACCCTCTATCTAGTATATCAATTGATAAGACACTCTCTCCCACAAACCTCTATCTAGTATATCAATTGATAAGACACTCCCTCCCCCTCCCCCCTTCTCTACACCACCAACCTCTATCTAGTATATCAATTGATAAGACACTCCCTCCCCTTCCCCCCTTCTCTACACCACCAACCTCTATCTAGTATATCAATTGATAAGACACTCTCTCCCATAAACCTCTATCTAGTATATCAATTGATACGACACTCCCTCCCCCCTCTACACCACCAAACTCTATCTAGTATATCAATTGAGAAGCCACTCTCTCCCCCCTCTACCCCACCAACCTCTATCTAGTATAACAATTGATAAGACACTCTCTCCCTCCTCTACACCACCAACCTCCATCTAGTGTATCAATTTATAAGACACTCTCTCATCCCTCCCCCTTCTCCACGTCCAGCCTCTATCTAGTATTTCAATTGATAAGACACTCTCTCCACCCTCTACACCACCAACCTCTGTCTAGTATATCAATTGATAAGGGACTCTCTCCCCCCTCTACACCTCCAACCTCTATCTAGTATATCACTTGATAAGACACTCTCTCCCCCCTTTACACCACCAACCTGTCTAGTATATCAATTGATAAGCTCCTCTCTCCCCCCTCTACACCATCACCCTCGATCTAGTATATCAATTGATAAGGGACTCTCTCCCCCCTCTACACCATCACCCTCGATCTAGTATATCAATTGATAAGACCCTCTCTCCCCCCTCTACACCATCACCCTCGATCTAGTATATCAATTGATAAGCTCCTCTCTCCCCCCTCTACACCACAAACCCCTATCTAGTATATCAATTGATAAGATACTCCTCTCTCCCTCCTCTACACCACCAACCTGCATCTAGTGTATCAATTTATAAGACACTCTCTCATCCCTCCCCCTTCTCCACGTCCAGCCTCTATCTAGTATTTCAATTGATAAGACACTCTCTACCCCCTCTACACCACCAACCTCTGTCTAGTATATCAATTGATAAGCCCCTCTCTCCCCCCTCTACACCATCACCCTCGATCTAGTATATCAATTGATAAGCTCCTCTCTCCCCCCTCTACACCATCACCCTCGATCTAGTATATCAATTGATAAGGGACTCTCTCCCCCCTCTACACCAACAACCTCTATCTAGTATATCACTTGATAAGACACTCTCTCCCCCCTCTACACCACCAACCTCTATCACCTCAAATGTCTAATTGCATGTCCCTGATGCTTGGGTTTCTGTTTCTAAAGCTAATCATGATATAGAAGTATACCATAAAGACATTTTTTGAATTGAGCCTATGTTACATTTGACATTAACTTCTGGTCTTATCTCAGAACTTTTCTCCATTTCAAATTTCCACTTGAGCTTTCAAAGTTGGTTTTTGGATCTTGATAGCAACTCATTTTTTTTATTCAGCTTCATTTTCTTTAGGATATTTTGCCATTGCGATACTGTAATGGCTTTTTGATTATGGCTACCAAGAGACTTTAAGACATTAATCTGCATCCAACAAATTAGCTCCTTGATCTCAAATGCAGTATATAGCATCAACAGTAACTCCTTAGATAGATGCTTAAAAGAACCCAAGACACAGAAAATGTAATACTGGATACAATTAAATGGATACTTGTGTATTTTCCTAATGTAGTGTAACATTCTGACTAGATTGTTTCACCTACATGTCAGAATTATAAGTCTAGATCAAATACTTTTGTAAAATATTAATTTCACCTGAGAATTATCTGCATTCTATATAGAATAGTGTTAGTGGTGTGTTTACCTGTGACTTGACTGTCGTCCATCACGCTGGAGTCCTGTAGGTCCTCTCCATCTGAGGACGTCTCCATAGTCTTCTCCAGTACACACTTACTACACACCCAATTACCTGCACAGGAGCAAGTTCAGATGTTAACACAAAATTCAACAGAATTGAGCTGTAAATCATTTCAACCATAACCTCACCATATTGAACCTGTGATGTACTTGTGGAGTAAAATGGATATCCGTCTTTTTTGCTAAAATGTAACCAGTGTTTTCAGAAATAACCCAATTCTGGCATCATATTCCAAAAGGTTCACCTACTTGGACTATACTTGTTCATTTAATTGCATTGACAACTTAGTCTAAATGAGTTTTCTTACAAGCCTTTACAAGGATTTACAATGTCTGCCTTATCATATACTAGTCTTTTGTTCTGTATTAACATTCACAAGACTTTTTTTCTGTATTAACATTCACAAGACTTTTGTTCTATATTAACATTCACAAGTCTTTTGTTCTATATAAACATTCACAAGTATTTTTTGTTCTATATAAACATTCACAAGTCTTTTGTTCTATATAAACATTCGCAAGTATTTTTTGTTCTATATAAACATTCACAAGACTTTTGTTCTGTATAAACATTCACAAGTCTTTTGTTCTGTATTTACATTCACAAGTCTTTTGTTCTATATAAACATTCACAAGTCTTTTGTTCTGTATTTACATTCACAAGTCTTTTGTTCTATATAAACATTCGCAAGTATTTTTTGTTCTATATAAACATTCACAAGACTTTTGTTCTGTATAAACATTCACAAGTCTTTTGTTCTGTATTTACATTCACAAGTCTTTTGTTCTATATAAACATTCACAAGTCTTTTGTTCTATATTAACATTCACAAGTATTTTTTGTTCTATATAAACATTCACAAGACTTTTGTTCTGTATAAACATTCACAAGTCTTTTGTTCTATATAAACATTAACAAGTCTTTTGTTCTGTATTTACATTCACAAGTCTTTTGTTCTTTATAAACATTCACAAGTCTTTTATTCTATATAAACATTAACAAGTCTTTTGTTCTGTATTTACATTCACAAGTCTTTTGTTCTATATAAATATTCACAAGTCTTTTGTTCTATATTTCTATATAAACATTCACAAGGCTTTTGTTCGGTATAAACATTCACAAGTCTTTTTTTCTATATAAACCTTCACAAGTCTTTTGTTCTGTATAAACATTCACAAGACTTTTGTTCTGTATAAACATTCCCAAGTCTTTTGTTCTGTATAAACATTCACAAGTCTTTTATTCTATATAAACATTAACAAGTCTTTTGTTCTGTATTTACATTCACAAGTCTTTTGTTCTGTATTTACATTCACAAGTCTTTTGTTCTTTATAAACATTCACAAGTCTTTTTTTCTATATAAACATTCCCAAGTCTTTTGTTCCATATAAACATTCACAAGTCTTGTGTTCTGTATTAACATTCACAAGTCTTTTGTTATATATAAACATTCACAAGTCTTGTGTTCTGTATTAACATTCACAATTCTTTTGTTCTATATAAACATTAACAAGTCTTTTGTTCTGTATTTACATTCACAAGTCTTTTGTTCTATATGAACATTCACAAGTCTTTTGTTCTATATTAACATTCACAAGTCTTTTGTTCTATAAAAACATTCACAAGTCTTTTGTTCTGTATTTACATTCACAAGTCTTTTGTTCTATATAAATATTCACAAGTCTTTTGTTCTATATAAACCTTCACAAGTCTTTTGTTCTGTATTTACATTCACAAGTCTTTTGTTCAATATAAACATCCACAAGTCTTTTGTTCTGTATTTACATTCACAAGTCTTTTGTTCTATATTAACATTCACAAGTCTTTTGTTCTATATAAATATTCACAAGTCTTTTGTTCTATATGAACATTCACAAGTCTTTTGTTCTATAAAAACATTCACAAGTCTTTTGTTCTATATAAATATTCACAAGTCTTTTGTTCTATATGAACATTCACAAGTCTTTTGTTCTATATTTCTATATAAACATTCACAAGGCTTTTGTTCGGTATAAACATTCACAAGTCTTTTATTCTATATAAACATTAACAAGTCTTTTGTTCTATATAAATATTCACAAGTCTTTTGTTCTATATAAATATTCACAAGTCTTTTGTTCTATATTAACATTCACAAGTCTTTTGTTCTTTATAAACATTCACAAGTCTTTTATTCTATATAAACATTCACAAGACTTTTGTTCTGTATAAACATTCACAAGACTTTTGTTCTATATAAACATTAACAAGTCTTTTGTTCTATATAAACATTAACAAGTCTTTTGTTCTATATAAATATTCACAAGTCTTTTGTTCTATATTAACATTCACAAGTCTTTTGTTCTTTATAAACATTCACAAGTCTTTTTTTCTATATAAACCTTCACAAGTCTTTTGTTCTGTATAAACATTCACAAGTCTTTTGTTCTGTACAAAGAGTTCAATGCTTACCCAAAGGTTTTTTCTCCAGTGGAGGGTTATGGCAGTTCATATGGTAGCCTTTGTCACAGGAGTCACAAAACAACATCATTTCCTGAGAGGAATCATTATAATACTTGGAATTTTTTGTTCATGAAAATTGACTGAATTATGTTGTAAGCAAATGGTTTTTGTACATTTTTTTCAGAGGAGTCATGAAAAATATTTTCAAAATGTTGATGAATATTTCAAACTAATACAATTTTCCCTGGATTAAATTATGGCACAGAAAATAGAAAACACCTTAGTAATGGTAAAAGAGGCAGTTTGTAAACCTTTGTGGTTTATAGTAACAGGTACAATTAAGGCGAAATATTTTATCAATAATTTTCTGTAATATATTATTTTAAATTGTAATCAAAGTTATCTCCCCTTGACCAAGACTCCAGCAATATTTGTAGAATTTGCATCAGGAGGCAAAAGCTTCAACTTTTTTTTAACCAAAACTTGCTTTCACACAAGTTTAGCTAATCACTTACGGGATCACCAGAATCCTCGCACACAAAGCAGGTCTTGCAGTCGATGCATTGCCATGGTGATTCCAGTGCACGCCTTGCCAGACTTTCACAGTAACCCATACAGGAAGGATGAGCTGAAGGGAGGTGAAAATAAGGTCAAAATTAACTTACAGCAATTGCTATAATGACGTAACTCGCTCACTGGAAGTCAAATCTAAAAGAAATTATACCACACATACCCCTCATAAATATGCATCTCCCTAAATAACATAGACTTCCCCACTGACTAAGCGACTTGATTCTTTTTTATAACACAAATAAGGACAGTTTACCATGGAATCCCTATTGCTTTTGTCAGGACAAACAAAAGCACACGTGATTAACATTTTCTTTCAGTGGAAAACAAAAGCCGGATATGCTTTCCTATCCAATCCTTCTCAATCCTAATACATATATTTTCGAGCCAATATAGCCCGAGATCACCCAGTTTCTCCGGCAACTGGCAGCAAAGAATCAATGACTTCTTTCTGGTAAGAGGCCAGGTTTTCTACAGGATTACTTCCACTTTTAAGCATGCTGGTGTCTTTTTGTACAACTACATTGACTGGAACAATCTAGGAAAACGTGTTTTGCTTCAAAACTCCTTTTAGCTTAATTCAAAGTTAATGTTATAAGCAGGCAGATGAGACGCTTCATGATAAATCTTAGATGCTGCCCTTCCAATAATAGTCAGCAGCTTAAGGAGGCTCCACCCTTTCCCAATTAGCCAGCAGAATTCAATGAAAGTTTCACATAATGGTTATGTCACTATATAGAGATGATTTTATGAAAATCTAAGCATTCCGATAAACTGGGGATTTTTTTGTAAAAAGTACTGAAAATTGACTTTCACATATTTTGAGCATGTGGCATTGTTTAAAACTATTTGACAAATATTTTTTTTATCATAAAATATCTACAACATATTCCAGAAAGCGTTTTTTATTGAAATTGTATGGATAAAAGTTACTGAATACAAGCTAAAAGCAAACAGGACACATAGTTTCATACAAAAAGAGTGAAAATATGAACCAAATACAGTCTTTTTATAATTCATTTATATTACATTTTACAATAATTTTGATCCTGATGAGAGTTGTCTACCTTGAAAAAAAATGGAACCTTTTGCTGAGGGATAGAATGTATACCACCATGACACTTATTTTCTTTACTATACCAAAAACGATGGAAATAAATTAAATTACTATATTTAATTGTCAATTTACTGTTCTTTTATGGAACAAAACTACTCTCAATCATGTAAACTTTGGACATCATTCCATAGCCCGCTTACGCATGGTATATTAACATGTCGGGTACATACATGTATTTAACCATAGGCTATCGCATGGTATGCCGTTAATATGTGCACGCACATGCACTTGCATTTTATAGGAATCTTGATATTTTACAAACCACTATTTTCACAGTTATTGTAATTGCATTTGTGAACCGATTTATCCGACAGAGCTTAACTCGCTCGACAACAAAAGTCGTAGCGACCAAGAGCTTGTGAACTACTGTTAACACATGATACGTACAGGTGAGGTTGGTAAACAAAACACACCATTCTGCATTCCATGCGCCTCATATATATATGACCTTCTTGAAGTCTTCTGATCGTATGTCAGTGTTTTCCCGTGAGTTAATTAATGTCTTTGTATCATAAGCTTTATTTCTGAAGTATGTGTGATTACTCGATATCGGGTATTGACACATCATCGTCACGCACGTGTACTATTTACCCGGTATTACTATAATGTACACTACGGTAGTGGAAATGCCCGATACGGAATACGGAAATGACGACACAAATACGACAAGAAAAACATGTGTATTATGAAGGGTGGAAAGTTCTTAACCCTTAGGCTGCTACGCACGACAATAGTCGTTTTGAAAAGTCAGGCCGTCAGTGCTATGCACGACAATAGTCGTTTCTCGGCCTGTAGGTTTTGATCGGTAGCCAGGAAGTGTGAAGTCGGGTTGTTGCTATACCAAACCCGAACGCGTATAGTAGAAGGCTTCTGATTGGTTGTTTTGTCATTACTTTCGATATTCACGGCAGTGTACCCTAGTAATAACCAAAGGTGTGCGAGAGAATTTCAAATCGAAAAAAAAAGTCATAAAAATGGCGGACGTGTAGATTGAAGCGATGCATATGATGGTAAACATTTACTCTCCATCGTCACCTACGATGATAATAAAGGTTTTGAAGGGTTTGGCATGGTTGATGTGGAAATACTTCGGTGTTACATAATATGTAACTTTCCAGTAAACGGCTTTGTGCTCTACGCAAACAGGAAAATATCGGCGGACCGAGGCGCACATGTCGTCTGCAGGTGAGGCCGAATTGAACATTGACATTGATACGTTTTGAGCCGATTTATTTCTTCAAACTTTTTATCGGTGATTTAATCATAAACTAGACCGTAGCTAAGATATATCTATATGCCGACTGTGACAGTAAATTTATTGAATGGCGACCTGAAACCTGTAGCAAATCACATGCAATTCTTGACGAAATACCTGACCTTTTTACCTGAGAATCTCCGTGTAAATATACAGCGTCTTATGTCAAAAATGAAGTTTATAATCTCTGTTATCATTTGCCAATCACATTTGC